ACGTCTCATCCGTAACGGCTGGCCCTCGAGCATCCAGGATCTCCCTGCACCTCTCCGCAGCTACTGGCCGGTCCGAGCCGATCTCGTAATCAACGACGAGCTCATCATGATGCAATCCAGAGTTCTCATTCCCAGCTCCCTCGAGCAGGACACCCTCGACAATCTTCACACAGGACATCAGGGTGTGTTGCGTGCGACGAAGCTGGCAGAGACCACGGTCTGGTTTCCGGGCATTTCGAAGTTCCAGAATGAGGTTACTGGCTGAGGGTCAGCGGGATGTGGATCGTACTGCATATTGCAGGTAGCAAGAGCATCACGCAGGGAGGCAATGCGTTCCTCGCTCCACAACCAGTATGTGCTGGAGGTGCTCTGCTGCGTAGTACTGCTCTCATTATTATTATTACGAAGTAGTGGTTGCGACTTCGGCGATGACTTGTAAGAAAGGGTTTGCTCCCCACACCGGAGCTCGCGCTATTCCGCCGACTTTACTCGACACTTGACTGACTAACGACTGCTATCCAGATCACACGAGAAGTCCATCGAACCTTCGACTCGGCAAACCTGCAAGAAAGCACCACTCTCTGCTCAATACACAGTGTTTCGGGAATTCACCCCTCATCAGTTGAGCTTGAGTAGGCTGAGCAAGATTGTGCCTGAAGAGCACCACTTATATAGTGCTCTCCAGGCATAAACATCACCAGGGATACAAACTTACAGAGACGCTCCGTTTCCAGCGCGACAAACACCTCGTGAACACCAGATAGCAGCGTGAGTCAGTGTCGCTCCTGGACGGTGAGACAGACGTCGAGGAGCGACACTGACTCACGATAATCCTAGCACTAAGGTAATAACAGGAAAAACTGCGAAAGCACTTAACGAACTTGTAAAGACTACTAGTATACTGTGACACAAGATATGACACCATAGCCAACCACGGCCAAACAGACAGAACAAGCTGCTACTTGAACAATTTCAAACGAATAATGCTTTCTTTGTCTATTTTGCTCATGCCCATCATCCACCACTGCACACACAACGAAATGCGGGGTGTGCAGGCATACTGCACAAGATCTTCTTGCCCAAGAAAACATTTTGTGAAAAACTCGAAACAGCAACAGCATCAGACACTGGCTTCCGCAACAAACAAGCAAACAACAACCAGCAGCCGCATCCCTATGGACCAATAAGCAACTAGAGCATGTGCAACGGCTAGCCAGAGTCAACCATACGTGCAACAGCATACTATTCGTAACAGCGGCTATACTGCCAGTGCATATGAAGAACAATCATATACACAGAGCCAGCAGCAGCAGCATTTTTAGCAATGACGGTTTGACGTAAGGTACCAATAGAACAGCAGGGTGGGTGGGTGGGCAACTTTCTGTCTGGCAAGAAGAAAAATAATGAACAGCACTCTGCGCCAGCACGCTTTTCCAGCGGCCGCGGTGCCCTCGCACCCATCGGTGACCACGTGCAAAAATCTACAAAGAACATTATTTCTCGTTTATTTCGCTGCGTTCAGCACACGAGAAATGAACACGTCCTTCTGGACACACAGATTAGGCTTATGAATACATTGACAAACAGCTTCTAACACACTCAACTGCAACTTATAAACTGCAACTTATAACCAGAGGAGTGTTGTGCGAAAACTAGTTCGAAGTACAATTTTTTCCATATCACGTTTTTTCTTTCTTCCATGTTCCTCACTGCCTTCGTATCCACTCGTTTTTTTAATACAATAAAAGCCTTCGTGACATGTCGGTTCAGCTCGTTCTGATGATCGCAATTCTAAAATTATTATTATTATTATTGTTTTAGAATTGCGATCAACAGAACGAGCTGAACCGACATTTCACAAAGGCTTTTATTAGATTCAAAAAAACGAGTGGATACGAAGGCAGTGAAGAACATGGAAGAAAGAAAAAATGTGATATGGAGGAAATGATGAACAAACAATTGTACTTCGAACTAGTTTTCGCACAACACTCCTCAGGAAGCTACGTTGTACTAATGGAAAACAATCCAGAAAGATACTAATAAAGAGAAATGGAATGAGAAGAAACAACACCTATGAAAATGATAATCCTAGCACTAAGGTAATAACAGGAAAAACTGCGAAAGCACTTAACGAACTTGTAAGGACTACTAGTATACTGTGACACAAGATATGACACCATGGCCAACCAGGGCCAAACAGACCATGGCCAGCAATCGAGGACATCTGAGAGTTGTAATTTTTGTACTCCTCCGAGGTGTGATTTTTGGCGTGCTGGGCCAAGCACAAGGAAGCCATCTGCAAAAAAACTGCAGAAAATGGTTGTTGTTTGATCCTTTCGTGTAATCTTTGTTTCTAGTCGAAGCTAGTTGCTGTTTGGAGCAGAAACGCTGAAATTGACTATTTTCTGCATGTACTCATACATGTACTCATGTACTCAGGCATGCAGTCTCACTCGTATTTTAGCTCTTTTTCTGGAATGGATGCTGCTCTGCGCCCCTTGGTGAACATGTCCTGCGCTCGTGGAGCAGCTGAAAAGGACCACTGGTATGTCTGGTTCCTGGTTTGAAAGTGGAGAGTCGACTTTTGTGCCTTGAAAAAGGAGTAGAGAGCGATAGAGGTACGTCTGTTGCTTATTTTTGAGTGCTCCTCGTACATTTTTGATCGTGATAGAAATTCTCAGACCAAAGTCAGACCAAAGTCAGCGCGATGATGGTCGTACAGTTTTCTTGTGGATTTTTTAGTTGTTTCATCTCGTATCTATGTCAGTATCGTGATGGTGAAGTGGAGAGGGTGATTTTCTTCCTCTAGGCTTCGTTCGGCCGACTTTGCTTCGTCCTCGTTGAAAAGTGATCCTGAAAAAAAGGTCGATTCGAAAAATTATGTTGATTTTCAATGTACGTGATGACATGCGATTGCTGGCTATGAGAACAAGCTGCTACTAAAACAATTTCAAACGAATAATGCTGTCCTTCTGGACACACAGATTAGGCTTATGAATACGTTGACAAACAGCTTCTAACACACTCAACTGCAACTTATAACCATGACGAGCACGGCACAAAACAGAAAAAGAAGAATCAGAATAAACCTTACAGCAATCAGGACGAGATACAAGATGCTTATACACTTCTGTTGATCGCAATTCTAAAACTATTGTTGCCTCGACGCCTATTTACAAATTATTATTGTTATTATTGTTTCTGTGGGTGGTGTGCTATTGTAGTCGTAGGTTGCCTTGTATGACAACGTGATCAGAGGCACCCATATGGCGCAGGCTTGTGATGGAGATGGTACTGCGGCTGGGGCTAGAGATGGCCGGGTCCAGGCACGATGTAGGTGTGTGTTAGCATAGGTGGGTGGCAAAGGAGACGTGTTGTGTGAGGCCATAAGTCTCGCACAGCCAATGCAAGTCCTCACCTAAGACATCAGTGGTGTCGCTGGGGTGCCACAAGCAGTTCTTGGCATTGGAATCGCCAAGGAGAAGTAACTTATCCTGGGGTCTTTCAACTTGCTTTATGGCTCTCTCCAGTTCCATCACAAACTCTGCCAGGTCGGACCTTCGGGGGCGGTAGATGTTCCCTACCACAAGGGAGACTTGGCCAGTTGTTATTCTAATGCAAGTACATTCCGCTTGAGTCATGGGAATGGGAATTGTCTCGTGTTGGCACCTGTGTGGCATGTATGTGGCGACTCCTCAACCAAAGGTGTCCCGGTCCGCTCCTATGAGTTTGTAGCCGTTGATGGCATACATCCCGTCGCTGTCCGACGAATCAGCCGAAGTTTCCTAGATAGTGATTATAGAAGGTTGTTGCAACTCTGCCACGTGGCGAAGCTCGTCCATCTTGTTAAACAAGCACCTGACGTTCGAGCTGATGAAATTCGCGACTTCCATTATTATTTATTTATTTTTGTCATTTGATTCGTTTTTTGGTATTTCCGCAATTGAAGGTATTGTTCTCATTAATATTGTGTGGAGAACAACATTACTGACTCTATAGGCTAGGACTGAGTATCCTGGGACATCAGTGGGCTGAAGCGTGAGCCCTGTGCTGGGACAAGGGGCTGGCTGTGGCCAGGGTCGATGTTGTTGCTCTCTTTTTGTTTTTTGGAATTTTTGAAATCAGGTTAGGATTCCGCATTGGGACTGGATCTCCTGCGTCGTTCGAAGGTAATTCAGTGGTTTGCTGGCTGTTAAGACATGTCTGTGTTAGTCACCAGTGAGGAGAGGAGGTCTTCAGCACGCGCCGAATATGGGTGATTGCATGTTGTTCTCGGAGTAGTTGCGTCGGTGTGCGGTGAGTTGGATGTTGTCGTACCTTCACTTATGCTCCCTGGCGGTGTTGCGGGGTGTTGTTGTTGTTGTTGACTTTTATTTTACTTCACGGGTGCATGGTTGTGCTGGTTGCCGACATGGGAGATGTGGACTTCACGGGTGCATGGTTGTGCTGGTTGCCGACATGGGAGATGTGATGTCGTGTTTGTATGACTCGTACTGGTCGTTGACTGGGTCGTTTCGGTCCTAGCTGGGGAGCAGGTCTGCTTTCGGTGTGGTGTTGGCACCGTCTTTTTTTGGCGTGACGTTGGCACCGTTGGAGGCCGTTTGGGATACGGCGCTGGCGTGGGTCATACTCTGGGATGCTTTTGGTGCCAAATCAGTACGGTGAGAGTCAGCTTCAGCTCCGCTGTTCCGCTCTGTGCTGCCAGTGCTGCTGCCTTCTCTGCCGGCTTGCGTGGAGGTGTGTGCGCTGCGACGGTTTTGACGGTTTTGGCAGGTACGCGCGATGTGAGCTATCTGGCCATTGTCGTCGCTGTCGGCGTCGTCGCTGTCGGCGTCGTTGCAACCTTACGCGTGCATGATCGATTCAAATAATAATTATCGCTCTTGCTGAGACACTCTGTACCTGCAACGGCCGTGTAGACCCTTGTCGGGTGTGGATACCGTCCTCCAGACAAGCCAGTGCCGTACTGGGACTCTCTTCAAGAGAACATAGAAACTGCTATGGAAGGCCCTCAGGCATCTACCGTTCTCATTGGAGACATCAACATTGATTACAGCTGTGAGAACTCTCCGAACGCACAACATCTGCACCAATTACTATCCAGTAGCAATCTTCGGAATTATGTCACCTCACCAACTCGTGTCACGAGCCACACTGCTTCAACCATAGATCTGTTTCTGTCAAATACACCCATTTTTGGTGCCTGTGAAACGATTTACGGAGATATTAGCGACCATTTCGCCATCCTTGCACACTTGCCTGTAAACCAGACAGGGGTAAACCAATCATCACAACCCGGACAGAGTCGCCGTATCCACACCATCGACTGGGAGAAGTTTCAGACTGATCTGTGTGTCCACTTTCATCAGTTCCCTCGGAACGGCACGATAAATGACATGACAGGTGCATTCACGTCTGCTATTATGGAAACACCAGATGAGCACGCCCCCTTGGTGGCGAGACGCAAGCGTGGTCGCCGTATCTGTCCTTGGTTAACTGAGGAGTTGGTATCTGCAGTACGACATCGCAACAGGCTACACCATCGACTCATGAAGGATCAAGCCAATGAGGTGCTTCGTGAGCAACATCGGCTCGCCAGAACTTTTGCCAGGAAGCTTGACCGAAAGCTTCGTAACCTGTACTTCGTAAACCAGTGCAACACACCTGATCAGCGGAAACTTTGGTCAGCAATGAACACAGTCACAGGGCGGCGGAAGGAACGTCAAATACCTCAGGTTTCTGTTGAGGATCTCGGCCAGGTCTTCGGTGAAATTGTCAATGACCCAAGCAGACCGCAGAATCTGCACCCGCCACTTGGGCCAATGCCAGCCAACAGTCTTCACGTCTTCAAACCTGTAAGTGTTGCAGATGTTGAAAAGTGTCTTAAAGCTGTGGATCCATTCAAAGCTGCCGGCAGTGACTCTGTACCTGGAATTGTCCTGCGGCAATGTGCAAATGTGCTTGCTCCACCACTTTCTTGTATCATTAATAGTTCACTACAGAGTGGCGTTGTGCCCACCACGTTCAAGCACTCCCACATCAGTCCCCTGCATACAGCCGGAGACCGCTCATCAGCCTGCAACTACAGACCTGTATCCTTACTCCCTATCGTTTCGCGTATCCTAGAGCAGTTTGTGAAGAGACAGCTGACAGAATATCTGTACAGCAATGATTTATACCCGATGACTCAATTTGCATATTGACCCCGCCATTCAACAGAAGATGCATTGGTACTAGCAGTGAATCGCTGGCTATTAGCGAAATCCGAGCGCAAGCACACCGGTTTGGTTAGGATTGATATGTCGAAGGCGTTTGATCGTGTACAACATGAGAGGCTGGTTAATGAACTGTACACCCTAGGCATTGGAGGAGCACCCCTACACTGGTTCTGTGACTACCTCAGCGGGAGGTCACAGCAAGTGAGGGTGCTGGACAGCTTGTCTTGCTCTGTTGGCTGTACGCGTGGTGTTCGGCAAGGGAGCGTTCTTGGACCCATTCTCTTTGTGTTGTACACCCAGAATCTGCACACAGCACTTCCTGCAATTGTCAATCACCAAGAATTTGCTGACGATATAATCCTTGATTTCTCCCATCCTGACTTAGATTTTGTTGGCAGAACTCTGACGAGAGCAGTAACTGATATCTCCCGATGGCTTGAAGACATCGGCCTCGTAATGAATGCCAGCAAGACTCAGGTCATGTTCGTTCAGCCTCGTGGCGCAGCCATTGCCACACCCGATGTTTTCTGCAACAACGAGCAACTGGAGGTGACGGCCACCGCAAAATACCTTGGTGTGATCGTCGACGACCAATTGTCATGGAGGCCACATGTCGACTACGTGTCACGTAGAACTGCACAAACCATAGGGCAATTGTGGAGACACGGGCGTTCACTAACGCTTAGAGCTCGACGGTCGTGGTACACCAGTATGGTAAACAGCCAGCTGTGTTATGTTTCAGCAGCATTCTACCCAAGCCTCACAGCTCAGCTTCTCGACCGTTTGGGGAAGATCAGCAAGGCTGGAGTCAGAGCTGTGTTTCAGCTCCCTTGTCAAACACCGACCGCACCTCTTATTTCTAAATTAAATATTTCCCCAGTGATCCACCATTTTAAGCTCAAGATTGTTGTTTTGTCCATAGATGTCTTGCCTCCAATGCAAGCATGCTATTTTCGCCTTTCTTTCTGTTGATCGCTGAACCTGGTCTTGAGCAAAGCACACACCGTGTTACACGTGGCCAGGTCTCACGTCTTCTCCAAATTCCATTCGTTCGTGGACCAGCATCTTGAGCGTCCATGCAATTCGTGGGCAGCGTGTATTGGAACAGGTTTCCGGCAAATATTCGTAGCCATGAAGATATTCTGGGTTTCAAAGCCCTGCTGTGCCCAGATGTTCTTGACACGCTTTCTCTGTCTTGACTCATCCGTCAGACATGTGCATTTTGATCTTTTGGTTTGGTCTCTAATCGACAAACTGACTTTTCTCCTCAAATACCTCAACTTCTCTATTTCTATTTCATACATCTGCTTCGTTTATTCCTTACTCTTTTCTTTCTATCTTTTTCTTTTCTTTCCCTTGTCTTTTAATCACTGTCACTCACATACTAATACCGTCATAAAATATAAAACACAAGATTTTCTCATCTTTTTCTATTTCTTGTTTTTCATTACCTTTAGCATGTTCATTCACATTCTTCATCATTTGTGAGAACTAGACCTGGTCTAATGAGAAGGCATTTTACTGCCTGTAATTTTGGTGAAGTAAAATAAAGTAACAACAACAACAACAACAACAACAACAACAACAACAACAACAACAACAACAACAACAACAACAACAACAACAACAACAACAACAACAACAACAACAACAACAACACCCCGCAAAGCCATGGCTGAACCCAGAGCTCACTAACGCCATCAGAGAAAAGCACCGGCTCTACCGTGCCTACTTGCGCACCCGGACGCCCTGCAACTGGACAGCATACACCACCCAACGCAACAAAGTTACTCACCTTCTCCGAATCGCTAAGTCTACATATGTCAGTAATGGCACTGGGACGAGCCACTCCACACCAAACCTACACAAACTGATGCGCGGCCTCCAGTCCTCACAACGACCTACTCTGCCAGACATGCTCTCCCAGGGCCAGACTCTCTCAACCCCCGCTGAAAAAGCAACCGCCCTGAACGCTTTCTTCATCTCGCAAAGCCAACAGTCAGTCACAGGATGCCACGAGGAACTTCCCTCCATTCATTCCCCCACACCCAACACACCTGGCCTCACTACACTTGAAACAACAGCCCAAGAGGTCTCAAAGTTACTGTCTAACCTGGACCCGTCAAAGAGCCCGGGCTGTGATGGCATACCAACCCGCCTACTGAAAGAGGCAGCCAGTTCACTTGCGCCGTCCCTAGCAACCCTTTTTAACATCTCCTTCGAACGTTGCACTATCCCGCAAGAGTGGAGGGACGCAACAGTCACCCCCATCCACAAGAAGGGCAGCAAAACCGAGCCCTCCAACTATCGACCCATATCGCTACTCAGCGTGACGTCGAAAGTACAAGAGAGGATAGTTGCTGACCGCATCTCAAAGCACATCCAACCTCACCTCCCCAACGGCCAATCAGGCTTTCGGCCAAACGATGGCACCACACAGCAGCTATCTCGGTTAATCCATCAGATCACCGAGAAAAGAGACGCCGGGCAAACAGTAATTGCTTGCTTCTTCGACCTCTCTAAGGCGTTTGACCGGGTGTGGCACCAAGGACTGCTTGCAAAATTGGCCCACCTCGGACTCGATGGCAAATGCCTCCAGTGGCTTGCCTCCTATCTCACCAATAGACGACAACGTGTGCAAGTGGAGAGCAGCAAATCAACATGGCTAAACATTCCAGCGGGGGTCCCCCAAGGCTCTGTCTTGGGGCCGCTTTTGTTCACGGCCTACACAGTTGATCTGCCAACCGCCTGCATAAATGCCAACACTGAGTGCAGCCAGTTTGCCGACGACACTGCCATCATTGCCGCTCACGAGAATTTTCTAGCCGCAGAAGAGCACCTCCAGTCAGCTGTGACAACCGCGGCACAGTGGCTGAAGGATTGGCATCTCCTGGTCAACGAAAGTAAGACCACTGTCATCCACTTTCACCACACCAACCGGCCACCTCCCAGACCACCATCAATCACACTTAACGATACCAACCTCACTGTGGCCTCAAGGCATCGCCACCTTGGCCTCCTCATACAGCAGAATCTATGCTGGAACTCGCATGTTGACTACATCATCACTAAAGCGACCAGGAAGATGTTCCTTCTCCTGCGACTACGCAATTCCTTAAACACTTCTGCTCTCTCCTCCATCTATCTAACCTACATTCGCCCTATTCTTGAGTATGCTTGCACTGTCCTCTCACCCCTCCCCGCAACCCTGAACGACCGGCTTGAGCGCATCCAACGGCGCGCTGCTCGCCTCTGTTTGCATCTCCCCCTCTTTGAACACAGAACCCACTCCGTGCTGCTGCACCGACTCAAATGGCCATCACTCAGCAGCCGCCGTACCCTCTCCCATATCCTTCTTGCACACAGCCTGCATCATAGATATGCACCACCACACCTTCTTGCAATTCACCTACCCCGAATACAACCCATTCGCACGCTCAGGTTCCCCCGAACCTTTGAGCTACCCACAACACGTACAAACCGGCTAAGAGACTCCCCCATCTATGCTTCTCTTGATCTCTTTAATAGCATCCCACCAAGCATCCGGCAAATCAACCCCAGACGAGATTTCAAAGCAAACATCCTACCACTTGTCATCTCTTCCGTATGTACTTGCTCACATTGCTCAGCACATCTATAGCTCCATTGCGCCCAGCCTACGTGATTAACTCCCAATTAGTATTACCATCGCTACTGCCTCAGCAAGCAGCTAAACTTTGATCTCTCTGTATCTGATCCCCGTGCCTGTAATTATTTTTCTCTTATTGGCCACAGGCCATCGTGAGAATAAAAGAATTCAAACAACAACAACAACAACAACAACAACAACAACAACAACAACCTGCATGAGCAGTGACCACACAGCTAAAATGAATGGGCATCCCACGGCAAAAAAAGTTCATTTCAGGATCGAGGTGATTCCGCCGACGGTAATCAACCGACCTCGAAAAGATCGTGTACTCTGACTGTGTTGGTGGTGAAGTAGAAACAATCCAGAGCAAGCAGACGACAGGCATAGCAGCTCTTGCCCTTTGGAGAAAGTCAAAGAGTTTAATATGAGGCACGATCAACTTACAACCTTCCTGGACAATGTGTCGAACAATAGTTTTTCGTCCGTTGACATCAGCGACGACAAGGCCTTCATCTCCATGTGAAACCCTCAGTCCAACTGTCGTGGAACGTGAATCTAGACTTTAGACTATCATCCTGTGTGATAATCTTGTTATGGTTTAGCTTATGCAGTTGTAAGTGACAAGTCACTAGTCAAACTGCTACAATTTCGATGACGCAGAGGAGGTAGAATCAAAAGGGCATCACAGCTCAGCACGGAACTGCTCACTACATAGACCATGCTGTCGTCACGTCCAGGAACGGACACTGTAATGTGGTTTGAATAGCAACTGAATAGAGCGGTATTCAGCTAATAAACCCCGTTTTCTTTTAAACAAGCTACGAACAAATTCAGTTACTTACGGACGCAGAGGTGAGATTTTTGAGTGTATCCATTGGCACAAATACATCTTCCACGGACAATGATATCTTCCAAGCAGGTTCCACAGTTGTGTGGGTATGGCACTATATGAAAGCATTTGCAAACCCAACAACACAACAACAACAATAACAACGTTTTTCAACTTGTGCAATTAGGAGGTGGATGCAGATGTTGGAGCTCTGCGTATGCAAGCTTTTGTTAGTCTTTAAACGATACTGTCTACTCACGGAAGACACCCAGTGCAGTCCTAACTGGCGAGAGCCTTCTGAAGTTTTTTTTAGCCAGTATGGCCCACTCATCACGCTCTGTTGCAGCAAGCAGCTCAACCGCGCCGCCATCCTGGTTAGTCATCTCGCTGGGCGATCTCAAACAAAACACCTGCGTCTTCCCTGCACCACCAAGAACCTGGCTGTTGCGGAGGCCCTCGCCAACTGCGGCACTGAAGACTCGGTCTCCGTCCAGATGGCCGCCAAACAACAATGCAAGGTAACAT